AAGTAGCACTCACACCTGTGGCTCTTGGCTGAACATTTTGTATCAGGAAATCATCCTATACTATTAAAGTTTTATAATTTTAATATATTTTATTAGTAATATTTTAGTGTCAGTACATTACCAGAAAACCCCTTTTACCCTTTTAAAGTTAGGATCCTTCAAACTTTCATGAAATCAAACCGAAATTTGAATTCTGTTTATGATTTGCAATTTTCTGCAATAGGCATTGAATGTATTTATATTCTGTAATTTATTCTCAATATATTTAGTTTTTCATTGTTAGGGACAGAGTCACTGCTGCACTGAATTCACATTGTCTACAATAGAAGGTGTAGAGATTTAAAAATGCCCATATTCAGCAGAATTTTTTTCTCACTGATAACATCCTCATTGTTCAGTGTTAACTCTCTTTTGTAGAATACATAAATGCACAGTATGTAATTTCTGACAGAAGGGGCCTGTCAATCAAGACGATAACAAAGGTGAACTTTGATGACATTGTGAAGTACTCATTGTTAAACAACCACCATTGTGGATGAAAATCTAGTTGACCAGACTCAGGCAGAAATCATGTTCACGGACAAGGTATTAAAGTTTTATTCTGTCACGTTTATTCAACGCAATTCCAATGAAATAGCCCCAAGTAACGCTAGTGGCTAGCTAGTTCACCGACTTACTTCCTAACTCCATGATGTATCCTGTGTTTCCCCTGAAGTAGCAGTTACATTGGGTAGGGGTGATATGATGCCATTGATAGACAACCAAATGAAACACCCCTTACCTTAAATTAAATTACAGATTTTTTCTGGTTTTGAACATTGTTGGAAACATTTGTGATAATGTAAGTATGCGACTCAACAAAATCTATAATATAGGTCCAGTCTTTCTGAGACATTTTATTGAGCAAGTGTTACATATTGTGGCTTTAAATTGTGGCTTTTTATTGTGAAGCAGTCACAGAAAAAGCAATGTCACCGTCCTTTTTGGCAGTTTTTCATCAGCATATCATTTAAATAACAAGAGTGTAGCAAATGGAACAAGAAGGAGCAGCCACAGTGAACTGTTCTAGGCAGAGCTGCAGGTGACAGGCTGCGCACCTCCAACCCCTCAGCATGTATTTCTGAACATCCCACTAAGTGTTTGTTGTACTATTTAACTATGTGTTAACCATGGGTGTCACAAAATCAACCAGGACTGAAATTTTAAGGATTACAACTTCAAGTTTTTCATCATTAATCCAATAACCATAACAGAAATAACATTCTCCTAGATTAAAAATACTTAACTGTTTACATCAGCAACACAGATATAATGTGCTCTGATGACACTGCAGCAAATCCTCTACAAAGAGATTTTCTCCTTCAGAAACCAGAGTGCAAGAGCCCCCATCCTTAACATGCAAGCTAAACAATCCGCTTATTCTTAAACAGTCTAAGGCCTGACATTCTACTCTTCCCGATCTCACAAGGCTTTCTGAGACTTGCCAAGGCTCTGGGCTGTATCCCAGGGCTGCTCCTAAGCCGTCCTCTGAGAGAGGAGGATGATATGCAGCGCCGAACACTGTTTTGAAGGATGACTGGTGTTGTTTTAGAGCACATGCTGTTAACCTCATTTGACAACAACTATATTATAATCCTTAAAATTCCAAGATCATATCAATGACAGAGGGTATTTAGCTTATCTCATATTGGACATTCTGGCATGCGTTGACGCAAATACATGCAATACAAGAGATTCCTACTCATTCGACATAAGTATCTGCAATAAAAGAGTCAATTCAGCTTAAATCCAAATTGTTCCCCGAGGCACAAACAAATCTATTCTGTTTTGTTGCGTACATTATCCCATAAAACTGCCCTCTTCTGTGGCCAATCGCTCCATCACAAAGCTTTTAGATTACCAGGAGTTCTCAGAGTGGTTTTGGTGCCTCTTTATTGGATGTGCCTCAGGTCTTAATCTGTAAAATCTACACACAATCTAGATCTTCCTAACTCCATGTCCTCCGTCTTATCTTCCACCACTGTCTGTTTCTCTTTTGGCTCTGTGTCCTTCTTGCTTTACCTCCTGTTCTCCTTTGAGCCAGTGTTCTGATATTCACTGGAATGCATCTGCTTATTCAAGTGTCCAACTATAAACTGAGGAACAAACACACAGAAACTTAAACTCTGAGCTTGTTTTGATTGATTGAAGACACAAGCTGTACCACACAGCCACTCAAGGAAGAAATGACTTCTTGGTATTTGTCTAAGCTTCTTGCTTGTTTTGCTCCAGATTACAAGGAAAGTGAAAAAGCACCAATCTCATTATCCTCTCTTCCTATGTTGAGTGGCTAACCGCAGAAGAGAAGATATATATTTTTTAAAATATTTTTTCCATTTTGTTAAATGTCAAAGATCCATTTCCATTTAGATTGAACTTTTTTTGCTTTACACTTGAGAGATGAAGTTAGGTGACTGTGGAGCCCACCAAGCTAGGGTGACTGCATGGTATTAGCAGTTTGATGGCACAGGGTCGACCTAACGTCACACCGCCACTAAGGTCAGTGTACCACCTGAGGGCTGGAACAGACGGGCAGCTTGGCGGACAAGGGCAAATAAAAAGTAATACTCCCTTAAAGGCGGGTCATCTCTGACAAAATTTGGATGTGAATAATGCAGGTTTAAAATGCCCCACAATACAGAAACAGTCCTCTGAGACTACAGAGATGTAGTTTACTGTGTGGTGGAGAAAAACTAAAACAGTTTGTGTGGGTCATCAGCCAAGTGCAAAGAATAAGTTATGTATTTTGGTGTTACAGTCAGCATTATTTAATCAAAGACAAAAAGAATGACAGAACTTGCATGTGTGATCTCTGATTAAAGACATCTCTCTGATGCATTCATATCCACTTATGAGCCAAAACTAAAGGATTAATTCATTCATTTTCAGCCTCCCTTGGTACATGTTCACAATTATGAAAGAATGTGAACAGCAAATGAGAAAATCAGTTCTTTTTTTTTTTCTTCCACTGACTCAAATTTAATACTGAGCTGCAGAGGTAGGAAGCAATGCAATTATGTTCTAATGTGAGATGCAAGATTTTAATTAAGCAATGGAGCAAGGAAATACATGACTGCTTAATCTTACTGGTAACCATACACAGATAAAGCTGCCATTTTCCTCCCAAGATAAAACTACAGTACGCTACACCTACACTGAACAGCAGAGACAAAAGGTGGCAGCTAAAAACTGTCCTTTACACCTCCAGAGAAGAAAACAACAGATTCTAGTTGACCCCAATTATCCTGCCTTCATTTCGGGCTTTGAGGTGAAACAAGAACAGGGAACTGCTGCTCTACAGGGCCAGAGGGCAGCTCTCTCTGATCGGCCGGGCAAAAACCTAGTTCAATACAGCAATTACTGCCGGTCCCAAAGAGACCAAATGCTCCCTATGATTGAAACTTGTTCTTTTGCTGTCAAAAATAAAAGCTCTCAATCTTGAGCATAGAGCCTGAAATCTTCTACTATCTTTCTAAAATTCTATTAAAAAAATGTCATTAACTAAATGATGTAATAACGCTTGCGTGGCTCCTTGTTACACCAACATTTATCACTATCCAATCACAACTGCCCATGTGGTCGTGCTTAAATGTCACAACCCTCCCAAAGCTGCACAATACAGTGAAGGTATGAAGATGACATGAAGGAGTTGATGTTTCATGGCTGCACTTGTGAGAACAAGTAAACCTGGCCGTGTAACCAAATTAATTTAATGTCTTATACTCAGTTCAGAGGCATAACTGTGTAAGTACTTAGCAGATCAAGTTTACTGATGGGGCCCCACAACAAACACCGTTTATTTGTCTTAGCTTGGTTTCTGTGTAGTGAGGAGGGAATATGGTGGGTAAAACTCAATTCATTACAGTGATCAAGGACTTTCTGACTGCGGCTCTCTGTGGCAAAATACAGCAGTTAGTCAATGATGATGACATTATTGTGTGAAATTGTTTTTTATGTGGCCTCCAGCTCTGACACACAATAATAAATAAGCCACAAATGTGAATCCTGCAGACTCAGACACAAAGGGCTACATCAGGAGGCTACAGTGTAATAGTCTGAAGCCTCCTCTCTGACATGTTTCATTCTTTAGACTGATCCCTCCAGTTGAGTTTTCCCACGTCAAACACTGTGAATGGTGCAGCATCGTCTTAGCTGTATAATCCTTTTAGGGTGACAGCACACATACAATAGCACTTAGCCCAAGGACAGTTATTAACGGTAATGTACACAGGCTATGCAGGCAGTGTATCTACACACCCCAAATCAGAGGAGCTGATTTCTGTTAATTTTTATAGTTTTTTTTTTTCTTCCTCCAGAGCAAAGTCATTTCAGATAACAGAACCTGGAGCTTTTTTCAAATCATATGAAGGAGAAAATCAATAAATGATACAATCATGATGCAAACAAGGCTTAGTACTACCTTCAGGCGAGGCAAACAATTAATAATTCATATTTATGTTAGTTTTGAGGGCTGCGCCTGTGAGACACAACCTTACAAAGTGTCATAAATATCACACAGTGTTGGGCTTCCTTTGTACTACTGTCTATTTCTTGGGGAGTGAAGTGGTCACAGAAGCTGCTTCTGAACACCTCTAATCAGAAATGAAATGCCACCGGGATGTTTCCCAAGTGTCATCAGAGTAACACACTGATTTATGGTATATGGTATAAAGTAAAATGCTGCCGGATATCCTACTTAACTGGGCTTTTTTTTTAACAACCTGTTAACGCAGCGTCTGTCTACTATCTGTCCATGAACCGCGGCTCAGCACCGGGACCTGTTCGTCCAGCACCACACCGCCGCATATCAACCTGAACACAGCAGTTGGCGTCTAAAGCATGAAAAGGCGCATGGATAACACCAGTCATGAATGTCTGAATGAATGTCATCGCCAGGGCACATGATGCCAGACTAGACTGATCAGAGAACAGAAAACTCGGCAGGTTGAGGCTTTACTTACACAAAAACTCCGAAAAGCAGAACTCGGATGCCAATCTCCAGAGCCAGCTCTCGCATGTTTTTCCTCCGGTCCGGGGGTGACACGTTCATGATGCTGAGATAATCCGTCAAGTGAAATGGACAAAGGCAGGTCCCGGTCAGTTCTAAGGGGTTGCTCACTTTGCACAGCGAGCGCTTCCAGACGCGGTGCTCTGATCACACATGCCGTGCGCCTCCATTGCGACTCGGTCACCTGAAGCAGTCTCTCCTTTATCCTTCGCCTTCGCCTGTCTCCCCGCTGGTCTCGGTCTGTTTCGGTCCCCTCGGGCGAATTTCTTTATTCCAACTCTGTTGCTGACAGCTGCCTCTCTGTAGAGTCAAAGTCTCCCTTCTCCCACTCCTTCAATTACTTAAACTGGGTTGGACTCCTGTGAGCAGAGGACATCTGCAAACATAAGAGAGGTGGCAGAGTACTGAGGGTGAAAGTGATGGGAGAGAGCAAAGTAAAGAGAGGAGACTCTGAGCGTCGTATAGTCAGCTTCTCTCTCTCTCTCGCTCTCTCTCTCTCTCTCTCTCTCTCTCTCTCTCTCTCTCTCTCTCTCTCTCATTCCTTGGCTTCACTTTGGAGAATCAGTAGAAGTTTCTGGAGCACCACTCAGTCCTTCACAGGAGGCCAGATGAATAAATTCAGTGCTCCTGCCCAGTGGGGGTGCAGCATGAAATTCTGTACCCTGTATATAGGCATTCTCAATGGTCCCCATCCACTGCTATTCATTCTAGTATATTTGTGCTGACATAGGCCCTGTGTGCCCGCCTTTGCCCCGCAGTCCTACGCCCCTGCCAGTAATGCAATACTGCCATGCATGGAATTTCTTCTTGTCTAGTCTATAACCAACACATTGCTCCCGAACAAACATCTCCTCATAAATAATGAAGCACTCACAGTAAATGTGACGACCCCCCCAGTGGTACAGTCTGGGTAGGTGTTCATGACCGTAACATTGTCACAACGGTTGAATGGCTGGCATCAGGCAATCGGCTCAACACTCAGCCTGACATATAATATTACATTATCGTGCCAAAAGAAGGCCGGTTCACGGGAGTCCTGCTCTCCGTTGGCTCTTCCCCATACTTTCCAATCAAACCGCTATGAAGATTCAAGCACCTCAGGGTCTATGCAGCCAGGCAGTGATAAAGGAGCACAGGCAGCAGCATACCTACGGGCCAGGAAACCTGGCCAGCACTTCATAGACACACATGAATATTTGATGCCTTCTAAAACTGGCCTTCCTGCATTACCTGCCATTCCAAGATTCAGCTCTGTGTGTGTGTGTGTGTGTGTGTGTGTGTGTGTGAATATGTGTGCGTGCATGTGTGTCAAAGAGAGGGAGAGACCATCGTTGAAAAAGCCCCTGACCCAAAAACTTTTCCACCGCCTTTCTAGGTCACAAGCTTCACAAGCTGGAAACTGACTCTGCAGATGCAATTTAGAAATGGTGCATTCTTGCTGGTTAACAAAGGCATCCTGTTTGCTGCGATTGACAAAGATAAATGAATTTATACATGCACACTCACAAACATACACACACACAGAGTTAGGTACACGGTGGAGGTTTTGATCTATTTCTGTGTTTCATACAGTGGAGTTTGGGGGTGATGTGCCTGAAGTCTTTGCCAGCTCGCTAATAAGAACAAAACAAAACAAGAGGAGACGTAAAATGGTGATAGGTTAGAAGGTGAGAACTAACTTCAAAGCTTTCTGGCAGCCATCAGACTTTTCAGCTTTTAGAGAGTGTGGCATGTTTATTACAAGCTATCAACATGGTTTTACCTCACAGCATCACAGCAGTCGTGATTCAGATGATTCACTCTGGTCAGGAGGGTTTTCCAGACGTTTCCGAGCATTGGCACAGGACTACATAAACACTCATTTATAGGACAGAAAAATATTACTTTGCTCTTTCTGGTTAATACTATTCTGACTTATTCTTTGTTGTCAAAAAGAAAACATGTAAGAGCTATATGAAAATGCACATCTTTCCTTTTCATCTCTACTCTTTTATTTAGTTTAATTGCAATCAGCATTTTTATATTTCTGTTTCCTTGACCCACCTCTGGAGTTCTTTTCTTTCTTTCTCTGCAGTATAGACTATGAGTCACATTCCCTGAGGTTGTGGAAAGACTGCAAGGTTAGACATATGGCAAACCCTAAAATAGGTCGTACTTAAATAAATCAAAGTTGAATACGTTGTTACGAAGAGCTACTAATCACCTCCATGGGTATGGGTGAAGGTACTGTCGTCTGTTTAGGACAGTCTCTGCGACAGAGTGACTCATCATGCTACACAGGGATTGGTCCATTGCTCCCTGGGTTTTAGGCTTTATTGCACATCTCTGCTCATTACACTTTGGGCGAGGTTTTATTGGAAAACATCCCTCATTCGTGGTTTATATACAGAGTTGCATCAGTATGTGGGCAGCATTTTTACATGCTGATCCACCTAAGGGGGTGTAAAGTTTGTTGTATAAGGCTACTATGTGATAACATACTCCTTCGCTGAGCACTGTATCCGTGGCTAAGTAAGATGTGCAACTGAAGAAAAAGGGATGTGTCAGAACATGGGAAATGAGGTTGTAGTACTTGAAAGGTGTCATAAAAGGGAAAGCAGCCCAGTTTCATTCTGAGGGATCTATAATTATTCCCTAAAAATCTGCTCTTGAGCAAGATTTGCCAACTGTGTCAGTTGATTCAACTAGTCCCCAAAGTGGAGGGAGAAATATTTCAACACTCAGACTGGTTCCCATCCTCTATCATCGACAGTGTGGCCTTCCCCATTAACAGAATTAATCATCCAGAATTTTTTGTCATTAGCTAACCTTCGTGAAACTTGATGTTTTGTGTTGTTGGCAACTTTAGCTGATGTAAAATATGACCATAAAATGACTGCCAAAAGCAGCACCATGCAAGAGTTTTTTTTTTCTCTAATCTGTTATAATGGTTTCAGATTGCAACTCCCTTGTTTCACTCCTTCCAAGCACAAAGGAGAAATTAAGCTTGCCACGAAACGCAAGAAATACGCACATGGCCCTATCTAGAGTTAGTGTTTGGTTTGTCCATTCTGGGCTACTGTAGAAACATGGCAGTTTAACATTCCATGAACGGCGACCCACGACATCTGTAAATGAAAACGGTTCAATCTGAGGTAAGAAAAGCAGTTCAATTCCTATATTCAGGTCATTATACACTAATGAAAACGTACTTATGAATATTATATTCCATTTCAGCCAATAGATCCTCCTAAATGTCACACACTGGACCTTTAAAAGGAATAATGCTGAGCCACTGAAGTTGTTTTGAGATATACTGACAAGGAGCAGTACCAGCTAATCTCAGCCAGAGTATATGTTAAATACAATTCATTCTGGCATCAGGTTCTGTTTTAATCACTGCCTGTGAATGGAATTTTTTTTTTTACCACCCAAAGCAAAGAATAGAGTGTGATCAATATTCCATTTCACTGGAATTGCACTACTTCACAAAAACTTGAGTCCAAGTCTACCTCCTGTGAACTGTTGATATTAACAGTTTGGTTGGGGCAAAATTATACGTTTATGAGACTTATTGCTTCAGGATCCTGGTTGACACATTTTTAAGTTCAATAGCATACTCTGCTGTTTATGAAGACATAGGACTGATAGAATTTGATAATCAAATATATTTATATTTAACACACACAAGTAGCGTAGCTTGAAACAGTATTGATCTTGTTTAGTAATGTTTTTTAAACTGAAACATATTATTCTTGCATGAAACATCTGTATCTAAGAATAATAAAAGCAGTGGCCTGTTCTGCTAAAATATAATTTTCTAGCTTTTTCTGTCCAAAAAATTCATAGGTGATAATGAGACACAGTGGTTTAAGATGAAAAACAAACAGCTTCAGCGGACCAGACCAAGTTGAGATTAAAACGTCTCCTGTCAAAATTCAAACTGCTCATAAATTGTGAAGCAAGCTACGGCCAGATTTTTCTCTGGGTCCAACACTCAAGTTAATTGACTGGCAGCAGTAAGACAAAAAAAAAACCTGTAGAGGTCTTGACATATAAGTCTTCTTGGGTCTGATTGGTTCCTGCTCAATGCACACCGGAGCATATTTTTAGTTGGCTGTTAGCTGTTGGTGAAAAAAGAGAATTTATCATGGAAGTGATTTACAGATACTACTGACAATCAGGGCTGTATTTGACCTGATCAAATCAAATCTTTCTTATAATGTGGTTATATAACCCTTTATAGGGCACTCATTGAAATACTTGGACATTTAAAATTTCAACCCTGGAGTGTTATTGGTGGATATAAGAAGACACTTTTTCTGTTTCTGTCTAGGTGGGCTGGCACAGCAACAATCTGTGGCACAGCAGGCCTCCTCTTCCCATAGAAGGACTGAGCAGACAGCTGCTGCAAAAGAAATATGCCACATCAATATACTATAAAAAATATGTAATACATAAGACATAAGCAAATCAAGATCCAGCCCACGTTGAGTTATTTGTGAAAGAAAGCCGTAACATAAATAAAAAACACCAAAATATGCCAATGAAGTGTAATTAAAACCGTCATAAGGAAGTTACCATATATGGTTCAAAGGGTTAAGAGAAAAGTTTAGTATTACTCCAGATGTCAGTTATCATCCACACAAGCACACATTATGTATTAGGTCATGGTATCACATTAAGGATATATGGGAATATGTATGTCTCCAAAATGTGGAGATACAGAAATGAAGCTTATATTTAAAAAGCTACCTAAAAACACTGAAATCACTGTATTCATTTATCAATACTTCTTTATTAAGTAGCACCGATCAGTTTGCAGTTGCCCTAGTGAACAAAACCAAGTCTGTTCAAACCAAAGCTGACTACGTATGTCTCATAATATTGTTGTTAAGATCAGCAGCTTAAGCCTGCTAATCTCGTACATTAAAAAAGTTTTGCGTTGCTTTATTCAAACAAAACAACAGGCTTCCACAACAGCTCTACCATCTTTCTTGGACAGCATATCAATTACCTCTAGTGGCTGGAGAGGGTGACAACATGCAGAGTTGTGGATTTCAGCATAAAGGATCAGTTCACCCAAAAACAATTCAGTTGAATTATATTGTTATGTGGTGTGCTTTTTTTTCTTCCTAGGACTCGCCCCTGGATCAGTGTTGCTGTAATCTTAATACCAGGCCAACAGTTGTTCCCACATTTGTCAAGGCATGTGTGTTATCAGTAATACATAATGAAATGTATAATCGTTGCTAATAGGAGTTTCTTATTACTGTCTTCATTTAGGTTAAATGTACGTGTCAAATTCATTGCCTCGGGCAGTTAGAGCTAAATATAAGTAAATGGTTCTGAAGCTGTAAATGTTAAGTTTGAACTTGTATATCTGGTAGAGATATGGGGAAAAGAGGGAATTTAGTGTCTTTCCTATCACTGTCCCCCATGTTTGTACACTCACGATCTTGCTCTGGGTCTTTA